CTGACCCCTCCCTCTGGGTCTCTGACCCCTCCCTCTGGGTCTCTGACCCCTCCCTCTGGGTCCCAGTCCCCCTCCTTCTGGTCTCTGTCCCTCTCTCACTGAATCTCCTTCCCTCTCCCCAGGACAGTCCCTTGTTTCTCACCTGCTGACTCAGGGACCAGAACTGGGCCTAGAACTTGCTTTTGTCTGGAATCGTGACCCAGGGCGAATGGCAGGGAGTGTGCCCCCTTCCCTGCAGCTCCAGAACCTCGCTGCTCTTGGGGAGAGGTCAGTGATCTCACCATGAAAGGCTGGGGCTCCCTGAAGCTCCTGTTCTGGCCTCACTTAGGTGCTGTGATCTCAGGCGAGTCCCTTACTCTCCCTGGGCCAAATGTGAAACAGGACAAGCCATCCTGCTTCCCCTATCAGGCCAGGGTGAAGAGTGACAGGCCTCTAGAGACTCTGAGGGAATCTGAGGAGGGAAGGTCCAATACCTCTCCAAGGCCCTCCCCCATCTCTCCCCTCTCCCAGGCACCCTGACCTTGTGGTGGAAGTGGCCCATCCTAAAATAATCCAGGAATCTGGGGCACAAATCCTGCGCTATGCCAATCTCCTGGTGAGCCCTGCCCAGCCTGCCTCGGCCCACCCCACCCTAAAGTGGGATCTGTCCCCTGACCTCAGCCCCTCCCCACCTTCATCCGCCCCAGGTGGGGTCCCCCTCAGCCCTGGCTGACCAGGCCACTGAGCAGCAGCTCCTGGAGGCCTCGCACCGCTGGAACCACGCTGTGTTTGTGGCCCGGGGGGCCCTGTGGGGCACTGAGGACATCACCAGATTGGACGCAGCTGGGGGCCTCCAGGTGAGGGCCCGCTGGGCTCCTGGGCGGACCAGAGGGGGCCTACAGAGACCCCCAGTCCCATCACCCTGGCTGTCACTTCCAGAGTCTTCGCGTCACCATGGCCACGCACCCCGACGGCTTCCGGCTCGAGGGACCGCTGGCTGCAGTGCCCAGCACTGGGCGTTGCACTGTGCTCTATGAAGGTCCCGTCCGGGGACTCTGCCCCTTTGCCCCCCGCAACTCCAACACCATGGCGGCCGCCGCACTGGCCGCCCCCAGCCTGGGCTTTGATCGCGTGGTTGGGGTGCTTGTGGCTGATCTCAGGTGAGCGAAGGCATGTGGGGGTTCAGGCTGGGGCCGGGCCAGCCAGGCTGACCACCCTGCTTGCCCCAGCCTCACAGACATGCATGTGGTGGACGTGGAGCTGAGTGGAACCCCGGGCCCCACAGGACGAAGGTTTGCTGTGCACACCCACAGAGAGAATCCTGCAGAGCCAGGCGCTGTCACAGGCTCTGCCACTGTTACCACCTTCTGGCGCAGCCTCCTGGGTGCGGCCCCTCTCCCCAAGCCCTGGGCCCCCCTGCTCTGCCGAGCCTGGGTCTCGGGCTCTGTCTGGTTCTGTCTGCAGTTCTGATTCTGTCTCAGTTGACTGATCTTTATTTCTTTGTCTCCTTCACCTTCTACTCCATGGTTTTGAATCTTGATAGATCTATCTCTGTCCAAAGCTCCTTTCTCTGAGTTTCTGTATCCTCCTCTCGCTGGGAGCCTATATCCTCTCTCACTGTGTGTCCCCGTCCCCCTTCTGGGTCTCGGTCCTTCTCTGTCTTCCTCCACCCCCACCCTGGTCTGTCCCTCCCATCAGGTGTCTGTCTCTCATCTCTCGAACCCAGCCTTTTATTCCCTATATCTCCCCCGCAGGCTGCTGCCAGCTCCCCTCCAGGCCGGGGATCCATCTCTGCTGAGAAGCCTCCTCTTTCCCTGGTGGACATCTTCGTCTCATTTACGTCCCCCCACCACGGCCCTGGCCCCGGTTACCCCCGACCTCCCTCCTGTCTCAGTAAATATTGGAGGCTCTTCTCCCTGCATGGTCTGGTGTCTCTGGTCCCTTGTTGCCCTACTGTGACGTCACGCTGCGACTTCACACCAGGCTTAATGCCACCGTAGACGACGAGCACACACACGCGCGGGAGCAGCACTCCCGGAAGCTATCGCGAGAGCCCACCCACTACATTTCCCAGAATCCTCTGAGCGCCAGGGGGCGTGGCCGCGCGCGAAGGCGTGGGGCGGGGGCCTCTGTAGGGCATATTTCCGGGATTCACCACGGCGACGGAATTGCGGTTCCGCCTTCTCGGGGCGACAGTGGACTTCCGAGCCAAGCTGCCCTCGTGGGGGCCGCCGGAAGACGTAGTTCGGCACGCGGGGGCCGCCGGGAGCTGTGTGCGTCCGGCCTGGCCAGTCAGCGCCGCGCTGCCCGCCCCGCACTCGGAACCCACAGCCGCCGCCCAGGGGGATGCGGGAGCCCCTGGTTTCGGGGAGCAGAGAGGCAGGCGGGGTGAGGGGCGTTGCCAGGCAACGAGCGAGCGCCGCGGTCGGGGTACGGGCCGGGGAAAGGGCTCTGTTCCTTGGTGTCCGGGGAGGGGACCCTGTTGCCGAGTGACAGGAGCAGAGAACCCTGTTGTTTGTGACAGAGGAGGGGAGTCTTCTGTTGCTAGGCGACTAGAGGAGACCCTGTTACCTAGAAACAGGGCAGGAGGATTTCTCTATTGCTAAGTAACCGGAGGAGAGGCTTGTTACCTAGTTGGGGAGAGGGTACTCTGTTGCTAGGTAACCAGAGAGGGAGCCTGTTACCTAGGGACAGGGGAGGGGTTTTGCTAGGTGACCACCATTGGGACCCTTTCACTTAGGGATGTGGCGGGGGTGGTCCTCTGTTACTAGGTGAGTAGAAGAGCCTTTTTCTTAGCAATAGGGGATGGAGGTACCCCGTTGCCAGGAGAGCGCCTGGGGAGCAGGGTCAGGGGCCCAGTGTCCCTCAGGCTGCCCTGAGCCCCCACCTCAATGGCAGTGCCCCCAGGGCCTGCCGGCAGTTTGGGCCTCCAGATTCCAGGCCCAGTACCTTCTTCCGTCGCCCCCAAGCAGGAGCCGAGGGCGAGGGCGGCATGTCCCAGGCCCCAGGAGCACAGCCGAACCCGCCCTCCGTTTATCACGAACGGCAACGCCTGGAGCTGTGTGCCGTCCACGCCCTCAACAACGTCCTGCAGCAGCAGCTCTTTAGCCAGGAGGCTGCCGATGAGATCTGCAAGAGGTGACCGCCACCCATCCTAACCCCTGGAGAAGCGGGGCTCATGGGCAGAGCGACCAACTAGGTCTCACAGCGAGGCAGGGACAGAGCCGCCCCATCACCTGCCTAGGGAACCCTGGGACTGAGAGATGGAGATGTGGCCTCTCACACCTGCCCTTCGCCATGGCCACAGCTCAGGCCTCACCTTCCCTTATCTGGACCCCCATCCCCACATCCCCTCAGGCCTCTCAGCTTCTGGATTTTCTCCACCAGTCCACGCTCTGCAGAGCCCCAGAGCTGACCCTGCCCTCCCCTGCTCACAGCCCTCATGTGGCTCCCCAGGAGCCCTGGGAGAAGTCCCAAGAACTGCAGCCTAATATCCCTGCATGCTCTGGTCCCCATCTTTCTCTTCAGCGTCATATCTCACTGCACCCCCAAACCACAGTCCTCCCCAGTCCCCGAATGAGCCCTGCTACAATGCCTCTAGGCCTTTGCATGGGCTATTCTTTCTGTCTGGAACAGCTTCCTTCTCTTGGCAGCCTGGGATGTTCCTCCTCACTATGCAAGATTTCAAACATCACTTCTTTATTCCTGCTCTGCCTGGTCTCCTCTCCGTCCCCACAGCCCCGGCGCTAGCCTAAGCCCGTCATCTCCTGGATCCTTCCTCCTGTCAGTAACCCACATGATGCTACCCCCAGAGATGACCCGGCCTCCCCACTCTTGCTTAAAGCCCTCCCATGGACCCCCAGCATCCTCAAGCAGAGTCCCAGCCCCTCAGACTGATTATTTTAGAATTTATTCATCTCCCCTGGCATTCACAACAGCAGTCCATCAACTCTTTTCCACCGAGGCCATCCGTGCTGGAGACCCAGAGATGAGTCCAGTAGGAGCCCTGCCCTGAGGGAGGCCAGGCAAACAGATACACAGGAAAATAATACAGACTTTCCCTCTCCAACCCCTCCCCCTGCCCTGCCCACCAGGGGCCCAGAGAAAGAACAAAGGTGCCACTGTTCAGAGAAGGCAGGACCCAAAGAGACAAGTGGTGGCAGGGTGGGCCTCCTGAGCTGGGGGATAGCTGGAGGAGAGGCTGGGAGGCAGGAGACAGGTTGAGGACAGGTGGCTAGGGTGGGACTGAGACTAGAAGGCCAGCAGAGGGGCTGAGACTTTATCCTGGGTGACGGGGCACCAGGGAAAGCTGGGAGCAGGGGAGCTGCAGTGGAAAGAGCCCCTGGGATTGGAGGGGAGGCTGGAGGCCGGATGAGGGTCCAGGTGGGGGAGAACAAGGCCTGAACTGGGAAATGTGGCTCCAGGACAGAGCAGAGACAGTTGGGGACAGGAGGAATCAGGCTTGGGGCTGATGAGCCATGGGGTTGAACAAAGGGAAGAGTCCAAAGGCTGGGTGATTCAAGGACCCTGGGACTCTCCTGCTTTGTGGGGAGGGTGAGACCTTTTCAGGGGCCCCCAACTCAGGCTCTGACCATCCCCCAACCAGGTTGGCCCCAGACTCCCGGCTGAATCCCCATCGCAGCCTCCTGGGCACCGGCAACTATGACGTCAACGTGATCATGGCCGCCCTGCAAGGGCTGGGCCTGGCCACCGTGTGGTGGGACAGAAGGAGGTGGGACCCCAAGCACTGCGTCATGTGTGCTAAGCCTGGCACAGTGGGTGCGGTGTGACAGTATCCATGGGGGACAAAGCAGGAGACGGATGGGCGGACAGGAGGCAAGAAGGAAGGGGTAGACGGGTGGAAGGTTGGCATGGCTGGATGATGGACGGGTGGCAGACTAATGGGTTGGGAGATGGTAGAAAGGTGAGTGAATGACTGGGTAGACAACAGGATGAGCCGATGAGTGGATGATGGGTAGATAGATGGTAATCTGGTGACTAAATGGATGGTAAATGGGTAGTTGGATGTGTTGAGTAGGTGGTGGTTGGCTGATGGGGTGGGTGAGTGGTTGAGTGAATAAAAGATGGATAATTGGTAGGCAGTGGATAGCAAACAGGTGGTTGGATAGTTGGATGGATGGATGGATGGATGGACGGATGGATAGATGGGTAAAGAGTGGATGAGGAGTTGGAGGATGGTGGGTAAGTTGTGGAGTTGGGGGCTGGCTGGCTGGTCAGTCTTGTCAGTAGGTGAATCATGTTTGGGTGGACGACAGATGGGTGGTTGTGGGGAGTGGTCGCTAGATGGCTGGGAGGTTTTGGTGCACGTGTGATTGGGTGAGTGGAAGGAGACAAAGGGCGCGCTGCGTGAGGAGCGTCCTTGGGCAGGCTCGGGGGGCCGCTGCTGCCACGCCAGCCTGGGTCCCACAAGTTCAGTACCCTTGGGCCAGTGGGTAAGCCTGGGCCCCTGACCTTGCTTCTGCCACGCAGGCCCCTGTCCCAGCTGGCCCTGCCCCAGGTGCTGGGACTGATCCTGAACCTGCCGTCACCCATGTCTCTGGGGCTGCTGTCCCTGCCAGTGCGCCGGCGGCACTGGGTGGCCCTCCGCCAGGTGGATGGCATCTACTACAACCTGGACTCCAAGCTGCAGGCGCCCGAGGTCCTGGGGGACGAGGATGGCGTCAGGTGAGGGGGAGGCGACCCTGGGGCTGGGGCCCCGGCGCTAGGCCCCCCTCCCCCAGAGGCAACACCCGGGCTCCCGGGCCTCAGTCTCCTCATTTCCCTGCCCAGGGCTTTCCTGGCGGCCGCACTGGCTCAGGGCCTATGCGAGGTGCTGCTGGTGGTGACCAAGGAGGTAGAGGAAAAGGGCTGCTGGCTGCGGACAGACTGACCCTGCGGAGGAGGGAACCAGGCCACCCGTCCGTCCGGGCGGTCCCTGCGCGTCGCGTCTGGCCCCAGAGCACCGAGGAAGGACTAGGCCCCGCACCTCCTGGACCCCGCGGAGGCCCCAACCCCTTCTCTGCACCCCCCTGCTCCTCAAGGCCGCTGCTGCCTCAATAAATCTGCTCATTTGCTCCCGGCCTGGCCCGCATCTGCCTGGGGGGGCCCTTTCCCTCCGTGGCCCGCGGAGCAGAGAGGCCATTCGTTAGCCAGGCGGGAATTCCGGGGGGTGGGGGGGACCTGGGAGCTCAAATGCTCCACCACCTTCCAGCTTTGCCAGCTTGTGTGAGTCACCCACCTCTCTGGGCCTCAGTTTCCTCGTCGGGGCACAGCAGAAAACAGCACAAATCCCTGCCTTTGTGAGCCAGGGGGAGAGACCAGGAGCAGATGGACGCAATCTAGAGTGTTCAGTGGGATAAGTGCTGAGGAGAAAGCAATTTTCTTGAATCTCAATTCTACTCCATCAGTGGCTCCAAGAGATGGCCACACCGTGATCCTGCCATCTCTTGAAGCTGCCAAAGTGTTCGGTTACATGGCAGAGGGGAACAAAGGTTGCTAATCCGCTGACCTTAAAACAGGGAAATGAGCCTGCATTATCCGGGTGGGCCCCGGGCAATCGTGAGGGTCCTTAAAGGCGGAGGAGGCAGGAGAGGAGAGTCCGAAAGAGACCTGACGAAGGAAGCAGGTCAGAGATGCTACATGGCGCGAAGCTTTGGAGGCGAGAAGGGGCCAGATCGGGGAAATGGAGGCACCCCGAGGGGCAAGACCGGGCCAGGGCCTTAGGAGGAACCAGCCCTGCCCACACCCTGACTCCAGCCCAGTGAGGCTCATCGGACTTCTGACCTCCGCAGGTGTAAGAGAATAAATGTGTGCTATTTTAAGCCACAGAAGCCGGCACAGCGTGGCTGGAATTCATTTAGGGCAGTGGACCTCACCGAGGAGGCGAGGAGGCCACGTGTGAGCCACAACGGGAAGAAGGGCAAGGAGGGAGCTGTGCGGAGCCGTGGAGGAGAGGCATTCCAGGCTGAGGGAACAGCCAGCGCAAAGGCCCTGAGGAGGCTGGTGTGGCCAGAGTGAGGCGGGGTGGGGCGGTAACAAAGGAGGAAGACGGTCCCTCAGGGATTTAAGCAGGAGGAAGATGGGCTCCCATCAGGTTCTCATCTGAGCAGGACCCCCTCCTGTTCTGTGTCCTTCCCCAGGGCCTGCCGTCCCTTGCTGTAGCTTCCTTGTCCTGTTGGCCATTCACATGGCTCCCCTGGTCCTATCTCCGGGTCTGGAGGAACCTCCGCAGATGAAGGCAGGCGCTCGCTCTCAGGCTGGGAGGAAGACACAAGGGGACAGGAGGCCCCCCTCCAGTCCCAGTTCAGGGGGGTAGGCTTTAAGGGGGCCCTCCAGGGAGCCAGAGGAAGATGAGGGTACCTGGGGGGACTGGCTCCAGAAGGCTGAGGGGGCCTCTCCAAAGGGGCAGTGAGAGGGAAGCGGGCCGTTCCAGAATGGGAAATAACTGAATGAGATCTGCAATACAAGGGGGGCAGTCGCTACTGGTCACTGACCAGGGGATGAGGGATCAGGGTGGGTCCCCGCCAGGCCTCAGGCCACAGGGCCTCCAAGGGGGCGCTGAGGGCTGGACCTTGTCCAGGACAGTGGGTGGGAGCCACGAGGTGCGCAGCTGGTCAGTCCTGGGCTCAAAAAGCACCCTCGGGGGCGGGTGGTATGGGGACAGCCCAGACGCCGGGAGGCCTGGGAGGAGACTGAGGGTCCAGATGGGAGAGGATGGAGGCCTGAGCTGGACCCTGGGGAGGGAAAGGAGGGACACAGAGAGTCCGAGCAGCTCTGCTCTGGTGGGCTCTGGGGGCAAACTGAGGAGGAATAAAGAAGCACTCAGGCATCTGGCCCTAGGACCCTGGGACAGTGGGACCACCCCCAACAGATGAGGAGTGGTTTGGGATTTGGTGGAGGCACGGAGCTTAGCAGGATGTAAGGGATGTGACAGACCAGATGACATCGGGGGAGGGGGCCCCAGGTCAGGGGCTCCGCAGATGGCTTCAGGGGTCTCGGGCCTGTTTGAGGAGGCATGAGTGTGTGTGAGCCCAGGGAGATAAGCAGGTAGAGTGGGGCTTGGGGAAAAGTGGGGTCCCCTTTTAGGGGTGGGCAAAAACGGGGGACCCAGAGACACAGGGAGGCCACGGGCAGGGAGAGGCAGGTAGGGCCCTCAGAAGACGAGGTGCAGACACAACAGGATGCTTGTAAGGCCAGTGGGTGATGCTGGGACTTGGGCTTGGCAGGTTCGGGTTCCCAAGAACTTCTGGAGGTCAAAGGCCAACTTGTAAAGGAAAAAGTCAAACAGCAGGACACCCCAACCATCAGGTCCCCACACCCCGCCCTGTCCCCTCTATGCCTCTCCAGCTTGCTCGCTCTCCCACACCTGGGTCTCTGACTCCTCTGTCCCTCTCTTTGTGTCCCTCTCTTGGTCTCCCTTTTTGGATGTTTCCGTGTCTCTCTCAGCTTCTGTCTCCCTGGGTCCTCTGGGGCCCCCTCCTGCCCTCTGTGCCTGTCGCCGGTCCCCTGCGGTCCCAGACAGCCTGGCGGGACTCCTGAGTGTTTCTATTCTTGGGCCTGAGTGGCCTCCCCAGGTGCCTTCTCAGCCATGGCCTAATATGGTCTCAGTGAGGAGCCGCAGTGCCAGGGTGGGACCTTTGGGGGGGGGGTCTGGGTCCTCTCTCCCCTCCTGCTCTCAGCCCCCCCTCCGGCCCTAACCCCTCCTGCTCTGCACTGGTGAGAGCCCAGGCTGCCGGGCCGCAGGCTGACAGTGCGCTTACTCTTCGCCCCTTACCGCGCAGAATGCCCCCTGCACCCTCACTAGCTCCCACCTGCTGGGGCCGCCATGGCCCGCAGGAACCAGGCCTGACTCAGGCTGTCCCTGAGCTCCAGGGAGTGAGGGGCTCCCTGCTGGGGGCGCGCCACACAGACCCGCAGGGGCCTCTGGGCGCAGGAGGGAGGCTGCGCAGGTGCAGGGTGGGGTGACAACTGTCCCGCGCACCCCAGTGCTGACAGCTGAGGCCCGATTTAGCTCTTGCAGCCCAGCGCTGACCAGATAAGGCGGTGAGGGGGGTAGGTCCCACCCCCAAGGCACCCCTTAAATTGCCCAGATGGTCTTGGGGGGTGGCCGCCGCCGATGTCAGGTGAGAGGGACCACACTCCTTCCTCGACTTCCCCACCGTCCGCCCAGGGCTGGGCCCTCTCTCTCTCTCTCTTTCTCTCTCTCTGTCCCATCTCCCTGCCTGCCCCCTTCTCTCCGAATCTGTCTGTCTGTCTCCCTCCCCTGCCCCATCCGCTCCTTCCTTCTGTCTCTCTCCATCTGTTCTGTTTCTTCCCATTTCTGTCCCTTTCGCTCTGCATCCCTCCCCTCCTCCCATTTCTAGATCTCTGCCTGCCCTCCCTTGCCTCTCTCCCTCCTCTCTCTCCTGCTCCCTGGTCTTCCTTTGTCTCTTTTTGTCTCCCTTCCTTCTGTCTCTCTCTCTCTCTCTCTTTCCATCTCTCTCCATCTCTGTCTCTTCCTCCCACCCATGTCTCTCCCTTCTCCTGTCTCTCCGTCCCTCCCCCCACTTCTCCTGGCCTCAGTCTCTCTCTCCCTTTCTCTTTCATGTCTCTGCCTCTCCCCTCACCGTCTCTCAGTCCCTCTGTCTCGCGTCCCTGTCATCGCCCCTTGCCTGCCCCCCCAGGCTCCCCATGGAGGCCACCAGGCCCTCCGCTGCGGTTTCTACTCAATAAAGCTGTTCTGTCCTCACTCTCTCGCTCCCCTGTCTCCTTTCCTTGCTCACTCCTCCGCCTCTGATCCCCGTGGGTGAGGCCCCATCCTCCCTCCCAGAGCCAGCAAGAAACAGAGCCTGAGAGACAGACCAAGAGACTGGGCAGAGACAGAAAGACGGATGCGGTGGGGGGGGCACCCAGAGACAGTGAAACAGAGACCAGAATAGGGGGCCACAGACTTAGAGAGGGGAGACAGTGGGACGGCAGGACACAGACTCAGAGATGCGCACACAGTGAGATGGGGAGATGCAGAGACACAGAGTGACTCAGAGCCCAGGCAGCGCCCCACCCCCAAGACACAGCAGCCCTTCCCAGTCCCCAGGCCGAGCCAAGCCTGGACAATGCTCCCTTGTCCCAGTCCGGGCTCCAGTTGGGCAGCTGGAGGGTGGGCCGGGGCCCCAGGGGAGGGGCAGCCACCAGGAGGCCTGGCTTTGGCCTCTACCCTCAGAGTCCCCCTTCCCTTCTCCCTCATCCTCCTCCTTCTGACCTCCCAGCCTGCTTTCTGCTTTGCCAGGGAAGGGGACAAGCATTTATGGAGCACCTGCTGTATGCACCTGAAATGCCTCCTTGCCTCCTCTGGCACCCTCTGGTCTCCCCTGCCCCTTCCTCTGTGCCCTCTGCTGTTCTTCCTAAGCTTCTGGCTCCCATTCTTGGAGGAAACAGGCATTTTTTTTAAGTTCCTAGTGTTTGCCAGGCAATTTTCATACACTGCCTCTGCACCTTATACTCTTGCTCTCCTGTCCCTTCCACCCTGATTCCTTGCACTTCTCCCGGATCTGCCTGGTCTCCTGGGAAGAGAATGCACATTTGTGGAGCACCTACTGTGTGCTAGGAAATTTACAAACTGTCTCCTCTCTTACTATACTTTTTTCTCCCCCAATTCCTTTCTTCCCTCTCTCCTGATTTCCTCTCTATTCTGACTTTCTGCTCCCTCGGAGTGGGGGATGGGAGGGAACGGACACACACTGAACACATACTGTGTGCCGGGTAGTTTACACATCTACTTTCCCTTCCTCATACCTTCTTCCTTCCTCTTCTCTCCTCTGTCCCCTCCTTGTCTTTCTGGGCTCTCTGCTGTCTTCCAAGGCAAAGAACAGACATTTACTGAGCACCTATGGTATGAGAACCAATTGCCTGTGCTTTCTCTACTCTCCTCTCACCCTCCCATTTCACTGACCTGTGGTCTCTGCTACCCTCTGCTGATTTCTGCTCTTTGCCAGGGAAGGAAACGGGCATTTATCGAGCACCTATTGTATGCCAGACAATCTCCTTACGCTCTCCTCCCCCTCAATTCTCCCCATTCCTTCATTTCTGCTCCATCTGCTCTTTCT